GTTTAAATAGTTGTTATTAGTCTAAAATTAGAGATAATTTAATGATGCATCTTTGGTGATCAATTAGTCTAAATTAGAAAAAGATATTTTAGTTTAAACTATATTCTATATAGGGAAAAATTGTGCCAAGGCCCCAAATTCCAACTTTCAATGTGCCCCAGCCTCCCATATTTTTTTAATGTATTGTAGCCCATTCTTTTTGAAAAAATTATGTCCAGACCCGTCCATCATGATTCCAGCTCATGTCAGCGGATGATTAGACATGTCAGCTCATGATTAGACATGTCAGCTGGCTTAAATCCTAAATTTATCCTTCTCTTTCTCATGCTAGTGGATGTTAACTCTTACAGTTAACATGTTAACTCTTTTACAATTAACATGTTAACTCTTACAGTTAACATGTTAACTCTTACAGTTAACATGTTAACTCAGTTAACATGTTATCTCTAAGAGTTAACATGTTAATTGTAAGAGTTAACATATTAACATGATAATCATGACCGCCGCCGCCCGGACGACGCCGACGACGGCGGGGGAGGAGGTGGGGGGCAGAGGGACCGCAATGAGGAGGGAAGGTGTAAGGAGAGTGCGCCAGGACGAGGGAGCGGGGAGCGGAGGATGCACGGGCGGGGGAGGGGCGGAGGCGGACGAGTGGAGGAGGTAGGAGCAGAGGAGAGCGGTGGTGCTGGAAGGCTTCAGCCGCGGAGCGAGGGAGGGAGGCGGAGCTGGGGAGGGAGGTGGGGGAGGCGGTAGAGGAGGACTGGAGGAGGAGGAGGGTAAAATCAAGATTTTGGATGGAGTTTGCATTGGAACTTGGGGAGAGGTGTCTGGGCACAATTTTTTTCAAAAAATGGGGCTGCAGCACATTGTTGAAAGTTAGGGGGCTGTAGCACATTGAAAATTAAAATTTGGGGCATTTACACAATTTTCCCTTCTATATAATCCTGATACTATCTCAGGCCTAAATCAAGAATACATTTTAGGGAAAATTATGTCAAGGCCCCAAATTCCAACTTTCAATGTGCCCAGCCCTCCATATTTTTTTAATGTACCGCAGCCCCTTCTTTTTGAAAAAATTATGTCTGGGTCATTCCATCATGATTCCAGCTCATGCCAGCGGATGATTAGACATGCCAGCTGGCTTAAATCCCAAATTTACCATTCTCTTTCTCATGCTAGCGGATGTTAACTCTTACAATTAACATGTTAACTCTTACAGATAACATGTTAACTATTAATAGTTGACATGTTATCTGTAAGAGTTAACATGTTAACTGTAAGAGTTAACATGTTAACATGATAACCATGATCGTCGCCACCCACGTGAAGTTACTCAGG